TAGCGAATGATTACTGATAACCTAGTGAAAAAGCTCTTCTTAGAAAAGAAGATACGAGCATTTTTCATATAAGTGCGACCACATCTTCGCAATTCGTGATGAAAAATGTAGACTTGCAAGACAACAAAATGCTCTTTCATCTAAAAATACGTTTATAGAAGCCCATGCAATGACAGTATAATTTTTCATAGCGAGAAAGTTTACCTAACATCAAAACTCTGCTATATAATATTAAAAAAACCGCTGTGGAACTGGAACAACTCACTTTGGCAGCAGAACCTATTTTTCGTTAGTAGAATGTAACATGGGGGAGGGGCTGGGGCGCCGTGGCCGAGTGGTTCTGATGCTCGTCGCTGCGCGCATAGAGCCTAGTTCCACCTTCCAACGCTCTGAGGCAGTCAACAACAACGCCCTATAGATCGCCACAGCAAGGCTATCTTTAGGATTGGAGGAGACTTGCACAACCACTATTCTAAGCCGTTGAAGAAGAAGACGAATAACGAATTGAATGCTACAAGTACTGGGGTCCGCACATTGAAAAAGCTGTGATGACGGATCAAATAGAGTGCTAAAGTGCTAAAAGAATGTAATATGAAAGTTTTGCAACATGTTAAGCTAAGTATGAGGATCTGCGTTTTTCAAGCTATCAAATGAGTACAAAAACATAGATCAAAAAAAGAAGCAAATGTTATTAACAAGTGAAATTTGTTTTCTCTCAAAAGGATGTGGTTCTTTAGTTGTAACATAAATCGATTTCTGGCACACGACGTTTTCTTTACCAAAAAACCCTCTGTTGAAATCTCCTTTATAATCTTTCTCCATTTAATGCTGGTAATGTGCCCTCAGAACCTCCAATCAACAAATAAATTTTATTTCCATGGGAGCGCGCGATGATACGAACCTACCGCAACCCGCCGCGGGCGCTGCGAGCGCGGTGCCGAAAACGGTACATATGGTCGTCAAGGAGTTATTAGAATGACCGTCTTGGTTATAATTGACATAGCACCATTCTTGCTATAATACTGTTCTTTATCAATGTGCATTTCAGGTAAAGCTACATGTGCAATAGCATGGTGTATTTGTATAGTTAATAGAACATCTTCAGCAAACAAACTGGACATTCTTTCCAATAATTGTATTGTTTAGTTTGCTGGATAGATGGCCACCCACGTGCGAGACCTTCCATTGGTTCAAATTTTTATAGAAGGACGACTCAAAAATTTTATTTTTATACAAGCCATTTTGCAGTCCTAGAAAGAAATTGTGGAACGTAAATACGTCATGTAGAGGTTTCATTTCCTTAGAATTGTTCTTTAAGAGCCGTTTCTGTATTTTCTGCATGCATTGACGAGAATTCTACATATGTCTTCTTTAGCTAAGATTTATAGTTGCTCAATAAATGTGTTGAAAAAAATTGGGATATCGTTTTTTTTATCATGAATTTGAAGAGCCGATAAACATTTGTCATTAGTTTTGGTCGTTCATTCATAGGGAGGTATTCTTGTTGATTACATGAATCTATTCTTTATCTCGTCAAAGTTGCCTAAAACTCTTTTTCCATGTTCCCAGTACAGGCAGACGGTATGTTATTAAATACGTGTGCATGACACTGGCACCGCTACAGAGTAGAAGCAAGGTATATCCTAAGTAGACTGAATGATAATATTATTGCTACTTCACACTTTTTGCAAACATTTGCTATAGATATTATCTGATATAGATATGACATGTTTTGAGCCGTTAGGTCTAGTGCTATATAGGCACCTATTTCGTCCTTCTGGGACTCATCAGTAGCACCCTACCTCACTTTTCTACTAGACGTCGATTCCTTTATGGAGGGATTGGCTGAACCGAGGGATGCTGCTATCGATAAGTCTAAATAGGACGGAATAGGCCCTATATAGCACTAGAACTAACGGCTCAAAACATGTCATTTGTCATAAATCAATGACAACAGAGAGGAAGAAGGGCAATTGTTCACTTTTTACGTAACTATGCGTCACACATATTCCATGAGTCCGATTATTTTTTGAACTTGATTTTCTCCCTTTCAACGATCCATGAAAACTTTTCAGATAACTCAAATACATTTGGTGCTGTCTGAGAGTGCGTGAACCTTTCTTGAGGTTTCTAAATGTTTTTTATTCTTTGCATACTTTGTCATGTGCCTCCCCTCATATGTCATATATGCGCTAGTAGTCTTTAAGTGTCAGTGAGGATTTTTGAGAGGTTTTCCGTACTCTTAAAATGATATGGATCCAATGCCGAGATTATCTTTATTTTCAAGATTTCTCTCACAATCAATATATGTGTTGTTCTGCAACTTCTAGAAGTGCGCATTGCCTTTCGTCAAAAACGGAAGATTCTCAGTAGCAACTGCCAACAATTTATCAAAAAGAGAGATCTGTGTTATTAGTATGTTCTTCATTGTTTGTATCTGTACCATAGCTTTCCTTGACAGTAGTTAACGAGCCGTTTTTTTCAAAAAAATTCAAACAAGCTAATCAAAAATGATGAGCTACAAATTTTGAATCTTTGCGTCTAGAGTGAATAACAATAATCTATTGTATAAGAGTACGATGGCTAGTCTTTCACCAATGCTCGTGGGTATCTCTCCGCTTCATTCACAACTCATTCTCCTGATTTCATTCAGATATTGCATCTAGGAAGACTACAAGTGTTTTTACTCTAGTAAACCCTGCATGAAAAAAAACAATATAGATATTTATTTGCGTTATAAGGTTATAATGTGTACTAATGAGACAGATGACTACTCTGCATTTGATTAGGAAAACGACCAGGAGAACTGAATCTGACTGACTCTTTCAAGAACACCGCCGGTGAACCTGACTGGATTGTCAACTGTGCGAACGCCTGCACTTCCATAGCCAAGTGCATTATCGGGTGCAAAGTAGTGACCAGCCACTAAGATGATAGTTAAAAAAAAAGAACACGACGGACAGTAGTATTGGTAGCATTCATTAGCCTGAAATTTTGACTCGAATTATAGACACACTTTGTCGAAATCTTGAAATCGGCGGACAAATTGCAGTGCTCGTTAGAACAAGAAGCAAAGGAGCTCGGTTACCCAGAGAAAACCCTTTTGATTATAATTGCGTTGAGATCTCGAAAAAAAAGGAAAGCAGTGTTCCATTACTCGAAAATAGTGGCAAAGTACCAGAGAGTGCTACTGTGCTTAATTTGCTTGGAAATGTCTCTCCACTGTTTTCAATACGGGTCTAAGTTCGAGAAAAGTAGTGTGAGCATGAAAGAAATTTTCAATTTCAAAGTGTATTTGATTTTACAGCCAACGATTAAGAAGATGGATTTAGGCATCATAACTAGATGCAATCATCAGAAGTGGGTATGTTGAAAGCCAGCGACATCTTCTACTACGGAAGATGTCGTAGGTGTCGGTTACAAGTCGGAGGAATTGTACTTCGACCAGATCCGAAACTTGGCGGACAGTTAACTGAGAGTCATAAAAAACGATAGACTTTATTTTAAAGAATAGTTATCATTGTTTTTGCCTAGATGTCATGCATAACTTGTTAATTTTTTACGGGAGTACCAGACCTTTCTTAGCATCATCTTTCCAGTTCCAGCTGTTGAATCAGCATCATGTCACAATTTTCAGAGGTCCGAAGTTAAGTGTTTCAAAGCTTGCTAGCTTGTCTAGCTACTGGAACGTTTCCAGGACAGTCGATTTTGAAGTCAACAGAATTGAGTATAAGAGCAAAAATTCGACCTCAGACGAGAGTTTGAAACGCGTTTCATTCATACAGGGGATGCTCTGGGCTCGGCTTACCACTCAGTTCTCTTGGGTATCTTTTAAACATCATAAACATATACTGCGAAAAAACAGCAAGAATATAAGAGATCTTGGAATGATTTTGGAGTGTTTTGTTGAGAACAATGTCCAACTCTTCCTGAGGAGAATCACTTCTGAGCATTTCTCAGTTACGTAAGTTCTCAGTGAAAGACATCATGTTCATTTAATATGCGAATTCATCCTTGCCGCAGCATATGCAAATGCTTATAACAGTGGCATCGAATGTTTATCGCTCCAGAAGTGGAGTGTAACTTTTTTTTTCGTTCCTATATATCGAGCTTCCTATCGTATTCAGCATTTTTTGAGCTATCCAGTGTATACAACAGTCCTCATGATCATTGAAGGAACGACGCGCGGACCACACTGGGGAATCGATTGAGGTGATTGGATCCATAGGCACGTTCCCCGTGACTCGGCTATCGGAGAACTCGGGTTCAACGCTCCCGAATTTGAATTTAACGTGTAAACACAGTCGCGAGTCAACTGGCCGAGTCGGTGAAACTCGCAACGCTCTTAGCTATCGGCCAATTATTCGCTGACTCGCAGATGCCGTGTGCTCCACTCATCTATCGCTCCAGATTCTCTCCGATTTGCCAGTTCATTTTCTTCAAATACTTTCCCTTTTTCTTCTCTCCTTTTTTGATTGAGCCATTCTCATTAAGTTCACATGAATAGGTCGATTCGGCTACCGTTTCGTCGCGTTTCGGCGTCTTCACAGCCGACTGGCTCGAGTCGGTGTTCGATGCTTGTTCGTCCCCGTTGTGTGTGGTCTTCGCCTTTGTTCTTCTTCGGTAATCTTTTAGCTGTAAGCCAGAATTCATACTACGAAGTGATCAGCTAGTAAAATTCGCTTTGTTAACTTACAATCATTGAATGGATTGTCTTATGAGTGATTTTCTGCGAGAAATCATCCGTGATCCCCGCTGAAAAGGGAGATACCTAACTTATTCCCTTACGACATTCTGTTTCACAGCATGTGAAACGCATAGCACTGAAAGCTTTTCGGGCATGATCAGATATCGTTGATACGACAGAGACCGTGAATTCAATGGTGGTCGTTGCTTGTCGTGTCGCTTGGCTTTGACTTCTTCTGGTTGAACGGTGCAAACACCTAATCAGTTGTATGAATGCAGATGATCTAATAGATTTAAGTGGTGAGCAAAGGTTCGACCTCAGGAGGGAGTTGAACCCTCGTTTCACCCAGGGGGTGGGGGGGGGGGGGGCGTGCTACCACTACACTACAGGGGCACCGTTTCCCTACCACGCATTCATTCTTCAATGTCTGTATCGTTATGGGTAATACGCGGGTTCAGCTCCCGCCTGAGGTCCAATTTTCGCTCAATCCACTCAATTCTATTATGCATTTTCAAAAAGGAGCGCATGTGGCACTAATTTTTTCCTGATTGAACAGCGTTTCTACAACGCCTCTTCCTCAACACCTAGTCAATTGTGTCAATGGAGAAAGCTTATTTGAACCTTTCTTAAATATTATTCATGTTTTGGGGCGCCGTGGTCGACTGGTTGTGATGTTGGTCACGGCTCGCATGGAGCCAAGCTCCACCCCGCACTTCTCTCCGACAGTCAACAATAATACCTTATGGAACACCTCAGCAAGGCTATCCTAGAGATTTCAAGGAGACTCGCTCGAGCAGTATTCTACCCCGATCGAGAAGAAGACGAAGAAACGAATTGAATGCTAAAAGTACTGGGATCCACGCAGTAAAAAGATAACACTGTGATGACGGATAAAATAAAGTGCTAAAGTGCAGAATTATCTAAGCTTTTCCCCATTATGAGGGTCTCAAGTGGGTAGCCAGCGGTTGTTCGCCCATTTTGTGGTTTTCGTTGGAAGCCTATTCATATATATGTATACTTTCCAGTCGTAAGGCTTTTTACAAACACTGAGTCCATATTACATAATGATCAGCTACTAAAATGACACGTTGTGAATTTTCAATCACTGAAATGAGTTAACTTGTGATTGTTTTTCTACAGGAAAGCAGTCGTTCGTCCCATGTTATGAACTTCGCCTTCGTTCTTCCTCACACTTCTTTTGTTCTAAACTCAAAACTCATTGATAAATTGCTTAACTGACTTGAATATTATACATGTAATATATATATATATATATATTTACATATATATATATATATATATATATAAAATGCTTATCACTCAGTTCTCTTAGGTATATTGAATTTTGGCCTTTCTTCAGTTGCCGATTTATACTGTGTAACTTCCGTTGCCGATTTATACTGTGTAAAGATAAGCTGGTGAAAGGATTGCTTTGAAGACTCACAATCGCTGACTGAATTGTACCTGGGAGTGCTTTTTTTTTTGCGCGTAACATCTCTAAATGCGAGCATCTTAGTTACAATCTTGCTGAAGGAAAGAATATTGAGTATAATCGTTGCGATGTTTTACTTGATTGGTACCGCGCTGGTCGTAGAATTGTCTAGATGGATAAGCAGCACTAATATTCTTTCTCCTAATTTCCAGCTAGTGGACAAATAACATGGCAACAGTGATAAGATGAGACGTCAAAGATTATGAAGGTAAGTAGTTTTAACATCTATTCTGATGTTTGCAGTATATCCGACATTCAAAAGTTGTTTATTGAGAATAAAATAGGTATTTTGACAGTGACGTAGAGACATTTTTTTAGCTTCTTTTCAAGTGTGATAGCTCTTATTAGGAGATAGATCATTGCAGACGCGGATTACATCGTCATTGCTGCTTATGCAGTCATGTGCCATGAGAACACTGTATCCTTAGCATTGACGACGACGTGTGAGGGAACAAAGGGCTTTACTCCAAATTCGCAGCGAGTAATTTTTTTTGAGCCGGGTTCAGATCTTCGTCTGGATTTAAAGTGCAGTACAATGTGTTTATTTTTAGTCTTTTTCGGTATCATCACGCAATTCTCCAAATAACACCATTGATTCACTCATGTAAGTTCTATCTTACCATTTTTTGTAATCTCAAACAGCTCTCATCTTATTGAATATCAATTCTATTTTGTTTTTTCTCTTTATTCCAACAAAACTCCATCGCCAGATAGTTGGTGTGGCATTTTCGTGCAAAGAACTCGGTAATCAGTAAGGTTTTTTTTGCGGTGAGTGAAATTTCTCCATAACTAGCCAGGAACTCTTCCTCGTCTCAACTCGTCCATCAGTGGATTTTTTTTATTCCAAGTTTCTACTAAGTTTTGATTCAAATGTCTAATATCAACCATCCAAGAAAACGTTTACGGGCTTGAGTAATGTGTTTTTCCTTCCATCATCGTATCACTTTCGTGTTACTGTTTTTAACATGGTAAGAACTTCTGGTTCTGATGAGGATTCGACTTCGTCGTGGAGTTTTTGTAGTCGAGAATGAGGAGGTAAGAAATCTAATGATTTTTCCACAACTGACCTCTGAGCAGTCAGAAAAGTTCTTGTTTTCCAAATTGTTTTCCAATTAAATTGACGTAGGGTCGGGGGAGTTTTTTCTTAAGACTTTGAATTTTCACAGAAATAAGCCGTTTTTTTGAACCAGAAAGTTTGTGGTCATCGACTCTTGTGGAGATAGATAACAACCTTGCGATCAGTTGCACTGGAAATTTCTGCTTAGGGTTCGAACCGCCCGCTGTACTTTGCGGTTAGCTACGCAGTAACACCTCCCAGAGGGTGTAAACCATTGGGAAAAATATACGTATACTTTACGTATCACCTGTATCACCTGTCGTCCCGTTGATCGTCGAGTGACTCGAGCGGGTACCAGCAACTCTTCCATTTTTCCCTATCGCGTGCAAGAGTAGCCCAGTGGGTCCTCCTTGCTCTAGGGATTCGCTGAGCATCATATCTTTCTTTCATCGCTTTGTAAAGAAATCGGACCAACGGGTCAGTGGTCTTCCTTTAGAGCGCTTGACATCCCGAGGAATCCAGTCGCTAACGGCTCTCGTCCATCGGTTGTCGTTGAAGCGCATCATGTGTCCGGCCCACCGTATTTTCGATATCCTGGCATGTAAAACGGCGTCTCTAATTTTCGATCGTTGACGTAGGTCGGAACTTCGGATCCTTTGTCTCATTTGCGAAAGACGGGATATAACCTAGCATCGACCTTTCGACTGCGCGTTCGATAACTCCAAGTGATCTTTCATCCTGCTTACGTAGCGACCAGGTTTCTGCTGCATACGTTAGGGCAGGGATAATTGTCGAGTCGAAAAGGTGGGCACGGAGTCGGATGTTCTTCGTCCTCTTCACTACATCTTCGATGCTCTTAAACTTTCCCCAAGCCGCTCGTTTCCTCCTGCTCAACTGTGGGGCTAGGTCGTTCATCATGTTGATTTCACGACATAGGTAGATGTAACTGGAGCATTCGGAAATTGTCGTTCCGTTGAGCGTGAATGGGGCATTAGAAACCCATCCGTTCCTCATGAACATTGTTTTTGTTAGATTCAGTTGAAGACCGATCTTTCCACAGGCGTTATCGAAATCAGTCAACATTCGTTCCGCTTGGCTGATGTTTGGTGTTATGAGAACGATATCGTCAGCAAAGCGAAGATGGTTTAACTGTCGACCGTCAATTTTCACTCCCATTTCGTCCCATTCTAATGTTCGCATGACGTTTTGTAGGGTGGCAGTGAATAGTTTTGGCGATATTGTATCGCCTTGTCGAACCCCTCTTCTTACGTCAATGGTGATATTGTTGTAGAATGGAGATATTCTGGTCGTGAAATCTTTATAAAGCTCACGAAGGATCATTATGTACCGAGTAGGGACGCCCTGGGTATCCAGAGCCTCTATAACCGCTTCTGTTTCCACTGAATCAAAGGCTTTTTTCAGATCGATAAAAGTGAGACAGAGTGGTTGTTTGTACTCTCGTGAAACTTCGATGAGTCTTGTAATCGTCTGGATATGGTCCATGGTACTAAATCCTTTTCTGAACCCTGCTTGTTCGCATGGCTGTCCTTCGTCCAGTGTTCTGTCAGTCCTGTTCAGGATGACTCGAGTAAAGAGTTTATAGACAACGGACAGCAAGCAGATTGGGCGATAATTGCCTATGTCGTGAAGGTCTCCCTTTTTGAACAACAATACGGTCTTGCTGGTTTTCCATTGAATAGGTACCTTGCATTTTGACAGGTAGCGAGTGAAGAGCCGAGCCAGGGTGTTGATGAGAACTGGCGGCAGGTTCTTCAGGTGTTCTGGTCTAATCCTGTCTGGACCGGGTGTTGTTCTGTTTTTCACCGACGATATAGCATGTCGGATTTCGGAAGGAAGGACCGGTGGAACGACATATTCGTCCTCTTTCAATTTATATGACGGCAAGAGAACATGGCTAGCGAAGAGATCCGAGTAGTACTGGTGGATGATTTTCTCCATAGCCCTTCTGGAAGCTGTAAGTGTCCCGTCAGGGTATCGGAGTGCAATCATCTTGGTCTTATAGTTGGCGAAGCCTCGCTGGGCTTTGCGAATGCTCTTCCCAGCTTCTGCAGCTTCTGCCATAACTGCTGCTCTTCTCTCTTTAAGGTCTTCTTTTATCGCTTCTCTGCATCGTTTCGCAAGTTCGGACGTAAGGTTTCGGTTGCCTGCGGCTCATGCGATTCCACGTTGACGTATCAGCTCGAGTGTCTGCGGAGACAAGCGTCTCTTCGTGACCTTAGGACTTTCGGCTTTTTTAGCGCCAACGTGAAGATATTCAACGAGTCGATCGTATTCTTCGTCGATGTTGTCGACAACGGTATCTTCCCAAGAGCCGACTAATGATTTGAATACATCCCAGTTTATGGTAGTTCTGGGACTTCGTTGTTTGTATTTAGCGGCTTTCTCTCCTCTCCTCGAAAATCGGAACGTTGCGCGAAGGAGGCGATGGTCTGATCCCGTGTAGAACTTGGGAACAACAGCGACGTCGGTCAGGCAAAACCTTCGATTTACTATGATGTGATCTATTTCGTTATGGTACTCTCCACTGGGAGACTCCCACGTCCATCGCTGAGAGAGAGGCTTTTGGAATTGCGAGTTACCATGGATAGTTTGGGTCGTCATGATAAACTCAGATAGCCTCTCACCCTGTTCATTCCATTCTAGTCCGTGGGTCCCTATGTGACGTTCTTCAGACGTTCTTCTAGGTCCAATTTTTGCGTTAAAATCTCCGACAATAACCTTGAAGAATGTATGATCTTCTCTGAAGAATTTTTCGAGGTCCATATAGAACGCTTCGACTTCGTCTTCGTCATAGCTTGATGTTGGTGCGTAAGCAACGAAGAT